CGATGCGGGTTATATCTAATTACATAAAGTTTAAAAGTTAATAAATTTGTGTAAATATAAAATATAACGGGTTTTACCTACGGCTGCTAGGAACATGGTCTTCGGAATGAATTTCTTGCTCTTCCGGATGTGATGTGTAGGGTTTTCTCCAGGAAACAGTAAGTAACTTCGCTTATCCTTGTCCTCATATAACCATTTTTCATCTGCGTGGACCACGTCGTCCAGCGGCTCGAACTCGAGCGTGTCGTCGTTGATAAAGAAGAGCACATGCTCCACCCTATCCAGCTTTTTTGTTTCAATGTAGGCCGGATGCGCGCCGCCTTTCTCACCAGCTCGCCCTCAGCCACAAGCGAACACATCATGCGTCGCGAAATGACAGCCAGCCCGACAGCTCGACGTTCAACTGAGCGATCTTCTATCGCAAGTTCTTGCAGTCGTGCGATGCATTCCGACATGTCCTTCCTCTATCTACCGGTGTTTTCCTTGATGCGGCTTTGTCACTCCCCTCCTTCTACCCTTGGGGTAACGCTGATGCAATAGCGAATCCAGATTTTGTCAATAGCGGACGGACTGCGCTTAAAGTCTCTGTGGACGGCTGCCTTTGCTCCCTGTAATAGATCTCCGTCAATAATGAGCTTTAGGAGCTCGTCTATGATGCAACGGCGTTGGGAATTGGTCAGGTTGGTCAAAGAGAAGTCGGGAAGCACTGATAGAGCGTAGTGTTAGCTGACCAGGTACTTGGAAATGAGGAAGAGGGTGGCCGTCTATTCAAATACTTGTAGCTCGGCCCCCAGAATGCTTTCAGCGCCCATCAAATCATTTGTCAATAGCTGGCAATTACGCGCTTCTGTTGGACCAATCATATTTTGATAACAATTGTTGGAAGTGTTTTTATAGTTACATTTATATGAAACTATCCATCATTTTGGACCAGAGGTAGTATTTGTTGCCGAAGATTTAGACAGAGCGAACCATTCGGACCACGAGGACTCATTTTGGTTAGCTTGGCAATCGGTGGGAGACGCAGGTGTAGAGGACGAAGGGGCTATGCTAGGGGCTGTTGACGCAGAGGGCGGTATCGGAGACCAATGTTTGAGCTGGCCACAGCTCGCTCGCGCTTTAATGTCCGTGTAGACAAGGCCCTAGTGGTAGCAATGCTTTGCTGCGCTGAATTTTACGATTAGCAAGAAAGAAACGATTGCAGTCTGGCGAGGAGTAGTTGCTCAGCTAAATGCGACGCTCAGCTCAACATTTTTGCACCATGCCTGTCGTGACAGGGCTAGTCTCCTATTATACCAGCATGTAGCATGGCAGAAGAAACTCTAGAGGCTCATGACACGAGTGAGATACACAAGGACAACGACGGCGTTTTAGCGTCACTCTTACAGGTTTAAAACCGAAACGGAGATTAAGCAGCAGGAGGAAAAGGATGAAGAAACGCTAAGGCTCAGGAGCTGGAAACTGCAGGTCGGCGTCTGATGGATTATGCCGAAAAAGGCGTGTTAATGAATTGGTTGTGTGTGTTTTCTTTTTACTGTGTCCCCTTTGATGTAATTGTAGAGTAGTCGAGCAGCAAAATTGCCGGCGAAACCCGAACTGCTAGTGATTAGCCAAAGCGCAGCCGCCTCTCGGTATTGCTTGCAAAAGAGCATACTAAAGCTATAGAACGTCGAAAGCCAGAGCAGCAAAAGATCGATCCTCATAAAGCGGACATTGCCCTCCGGCGTGATGAGCTGCATGCTCAACACCGTCAACGCAAG